ATTAGTTATTTTATACACAAAATTCAAAGTTAGGCAACTTAGCACACAAATATCTATGTACTTATACAATTCTTTTCCTGCCTTAAAGCAGACAAACGAGGTAAACAAACACATGCAAACTTGTACTCCATATTAAACGCATGCGCACAATTTTCTGTATATATGTTAGCACTTTGGCCAGCCCGCTGACTATCGATAATGGTAGGACTCAACAGTTACCAAAATCAATATTGCCCTAACTATAATAATCGAAAAACATTATATTACTATTCTCGTGGAGAGGAAGTGGATTTTCTTTGGCCAGTTACTTACAACAAATGCTTTTTCGATCTGATCACATATATATTCTCAATCAACATCATCCTACTTTGGATGAAAAGTTGCACGACCCCTGTCGTGCTTCACGCAATACATGTACATATGAACATATTCACTTTTAAATTAAACAACGGTCTTTAAATAGGGCAGGCCCGTTTATTGTTTTTGAAAAACTTTATTATTGATAAACATAGTAAGTATCTACAGATATTATTTTTTCATCTTTTGTAGTTGTGGAGCCGATACTTTCACTTTTCCGGGAATATTTCTGGCCAGAGACTCCTCCTTTATACTTTTCAGTAAATCTCGTTCCCGATTATTACACGTCTTTTCCTTTGCAAATATATTGAGTGCCAGTTTCGCAGCTTTTCCTCGTTTTCCGGTACCTGGTGTTAGCTTCACTTTGAATCTGGAACAATGAAAACAAATTTTTACATAAATGAATTAAATAAATTATGTTTTTTGATAGATTGAATTTTCGTGTCATTTTCAAGGAAACTAAAATATTATTTTCTCTGAACTTATTTTATATCCGACGGTCATTGGAATTGAATTGGAACATACATATGTACATATTTGTGAATGTCCTTTGTTATTTATGCGGTTCAGAGTTTAGAATATGTACATACTCGGTAATCTATGTATATTAATAGGTATTGTAAACTCCACGTTTTATGTATTTTATTGTTAATTATCGACCAACTTACTTGTAGTTTTGTAATGCCTGATATGGAGCCACTACAGGAATTGCAAAGAGTAACTCATCGCCTTCAAGCGGCTGTCCAGTTAGACTATTAAGTATATCCATGTCAACTCCAGCAGGCGTATCTTCCGTTTCGTCCAATTCCATTTGGTTTTTAGGTTTGAGATTATAAGTTTTCTCAGGCTTTTCTGCTTCATTAACAATAACAGGTTTTTCAACAACTTTGCTAGTATTGATGGGCGCTTTTAATTTTCCGGACGAGTTAAGAATCATCATACGGATCTCACGTTCCTCATCATCTTGATCTTTGTATTTTGATTTCATTTTTTTCAATTTTCCCTTCTGACCTCGTTTAACTTGGGATGAGCTACTAGGCTCTGCATCTAAGGATGCGTTATCTGACAGCTTGATTTCTGGTTGAGACGATCGTGCTTTATCTCTATTTTTTTTCGAATTACTTTGTTGCTTTTTGCGACTAGGTCCAGCTACTATAATTAATGTTTCCTCGTTGATAGGCTCATTTGGTAAGCTCTCAGCGATAGGTTGTTTGTCTTCCGAATTTAATGAATTTGGTTTAACTGATATTCGACCAGTGTCATGCTCAATCTTTACTTCAGTATTGGGAAAATCAGAGTTATCATTTTTACGATCCTCTTCAGGTATGCTCACAGCGTGCCGAGTTTCCAAATCTTCGCTTGTTTCATTTGATAACATATCTGTTAAATCACTTTGGTTGACACTATTTTCGAAGGGAGCATCATCTATGCTTCGAACTTTGCGCTCTCCCAAGTGGCGTGACACAAAACTGTCTTCTAGTTTAAAAAGTAAACTAAGTCCCATTGTGAGGTGACAAGAGGGTAAGAAGTTTTTTTTGCCCCTGATCATAAAGCTGCCAGTTGCCAAATACTCTCCCGTTGGAGCAGTTTTACTGACTTGCTCGCTAGTTACCCAATAAGAATTAGTGATCACTTTGGCATCCCAGGCAACGCTATATGAAATGGCCATAGAACCGGCCTCTACTAAAGTTTTTGGAGGGATATCTTCTCCAGTTGAATTCCGTATAACCACGCTTGAAGCACCTTGAATTTCAGCATGCACATATATGTCCTTAGGACGCATGTATCTAAAATTTAGAATATATGTTAAAAGTTTGCATAGAACAATACCTACAACCTACTTACCTCTTCACAATCAGCTCATTTTGTTGCGCATCTCTTCCTCCAATTACTAAGAAATTTTCCGAACTTATAAACCAATAAAACTTTTCAAACCAGAAAACTTTTCGTGCCTTTACTATGTTGGATATAGTTCTTACTTCTTTAAGCGTTTGTTGCGTTTTACGCTCAGCCGATTTAAGTGCCTTTTGAGATGCATCAACAGTTTTCTGTTCTTTTTGAGCTGCTGAACGCTTTAAGTCGTAGTAGCGACGGGCATTAGCCCATGCTGACAAAGCTAGGTCCACATCAACAACGGTCGAATCTGCACAGTCATTACCATCTTCGCTTTCGCTTTGATTATCATATGGATCACTAAGGATCAAAGATATATGATTTATTTCTAGCTTTAACTGTTTTATCGAACTAGCGACAACATCACCATTTGCCTGAGCCTCTTTGACCAGCTCGTGGATATCAGGCCATGCCAATTGACTTGCAATAGCAGACTGAACTGCCCGAATCGCATTATCCACCAAGCTTTGATTTGATGTTATTAATTCGGCTTTCTTTTTATCATCATCTTGAACCTTATTTAGCTCCTCTAGTCGCTTTGCATGATCCTTTTTAACATTGGAAAGCTTTTTTAGAGCTTCACGTTCCTGTTGTAGTGTTTTCATGTCAATCTTTTGCGATTCTTGAGTTGAGTAAAACTCATCGACAGCTTCCAAAAAGGATTCAAACACTGCAAATTCATATTCTTTAAATTGAGCAAAGAGAAAGGGTTGGAATTCAATGTTTCTTAAAAAGTATTCAATTTTCCCGTTTTCTATTGGTTTATCCTCTTTTACTTGAATAATATATCCTTTAGATTTCCCATTGTTTCCATCATTAATAAGATTCAGCGCGCTCTGTAAATATATTTAAATAAAAAATTACTTTTGGAATGGAGATTTGTAAAAGTATGTATATTGTGTCTTTAGAACTCCAGAACCATGGAAGTAAATTTAAAAGCGAATACTGGCCGAATTGCCAATTGGGCATCGCATTTGACCAACAATAATTTGAATTTACTCTACTGCTGCTTCACTGACTGACACTGAATCTAAAATTCTAGATAACATTTGGCTGTGTAACCAAAGAGGTATTTTAGATTTGTGGTTGAATATGTAACACACAGAAGGAACAGTTTTTTGTTCATACAATAAAATATGTTAAAATGATTATGCTTACCTGTACAGCAATTTTAAGAGTTGGTAAATCCTTTTCCATGTCAAACAACTTTACTTCTGATTTAGCATTTTGGTGATTTCGTTGCTTTCGTTGCTTTTTTGAGTTTGGAACCTTTTTTGAAATCTCTTCTGGTGCATCTTCTTCTGCGGCTGAAGTGTTTCCCTTTGGCATTACACGATTCGCCAAATCATGTAAGACAAGAACATGTTCAACGACTGCAGGGCCACAATTTAGAACCGGCATTAATATTTGTCGCAAATTTTCCCCAGGAGAGGCTTTTTCCAGTAGGTCGTCTAAGAGGTCCAGTCGAAATTCATCAACTTGATGTTTAGCACGTTCAACGGGATATTTTTCACGGACAGCAAAACGTATATTGTCACCCTCTGTATGTGGCCGCAGGATGTAAAGTGTTGTTAATTCAAAATCAGTCAAGATCAAATTTCCTCGATCGTATAGCTCAAGTAAAACATGATAGGCTGCATCGCCACTTCCAAATTGAAAATCCACTATACGATCCACACCCAACTGGCTAATTTTTTCCAAGCGCTTATTTTTTAGATGCTTTCTTAACTTCATACTAAAGCCAGAAGGAGCTGCATTTTTTGGCCACTCGAACCGGGTTGTGTGAAACCGAATTCCGGACTCAATCAAAAGCGTAATCTTTTGAACTACTCCAGTACCTTGCAGGCGGATAAGGTACGTCTTGTTATCAATATCGTATATTTGATTCACACGCAAGCCCACCAACCTGTGATGAAATAGTTGTAATTAATATAATGCAAATAAAGATTAGGTAAACCAACATTAAACAACAAGAAATAAAACTAGTTGAATGCCTACTTTTGAAGTTCGGCGACTCCGCAAATTATATCATAAGTACTGAAACGTGTCTTCATGGCTCCAGCGATGCTTCAGAGGTCATATGAATCGAAATGTGTTTAAATTCACCGTTAACTTCGGGATTGAACTGAGGGTATCTAATATGGATAACTCAGTACTTTTGGTCAGTTATGTCTTTCCTATCATCACAATCAAACGATTCACCATTTGTTTTGCTAATTCCTCCCGTAAAAAATAATGCAAAAAGCAATGTATCGATAAAAGGTAGAAACCCCAAAAAATATACAGAAAAATACCTTCTCTTTTTATACCGTAAATATACCGATGGTTCTCTGTGGTATGAGAATCGTATAGAATGTTTACACTCAATACCTTAGAATTGGCGTTTACATTTGCAAAAGAAATGTTTTATTGACTTTTGGCTATGGTTTGTTTTAAACATAAAAACAAATTATTTTGTAATGAATTGGTTGGTTGTATCTGATGCTAATGGAACTAAAACTAATAACATCATATATCTAACAGTTCTTCCCATAATTAAAAAACTGCCATACATTATCTATTATTACATATAGCTTAATTTAACGCTGCTGTGAACCCAAATCATTTGTTTTGAGTTGGATTTTCCTGGGCTAAGACAGATAAAATCTTTTAGTCGAAGACCTTTAATGATTAGTGCAAAATATACCAGAAAGTATTTAATCATAAACGGTCACGTTGAATATTGTAGCCCCCCCCCCCCTTCCAAAATAATTTCAGTATTTGTCAACATGAGTATATCTGTTGATGTTCACGTGCTGTTTTTTGCCAAGTGCCGTGAATTAGCTAAAACTACTCGCTCAATATATACAGTTCCATCTGATATTAAAGCATATGATTTGTTGGAGCAAATTGTTTTAAGATTTGGGCTCGCGAACATACGACAGAACTTAATCATAGCTCTTAACGAATCATATATCGAAGACTTGAATGAGAGTTTAGTTTTGAAGGACGGTGACGAAATAGCTGTGATACCGCCGTTAAGTGGAGGCTAAGCAATTCAACATGAACCACATTAAATTGATTGATGGCCCACTCGACGTCACTTATGCCATAACATTGATAGGAGATCCGAGTTGCGGAGCATCTTCTGTTTTTATAGGAACAACTCGTGATAGTTTTGAAGGAAAAAAAGTAAGATTTGTAACTGAATGTCTTCCTTACGCATGTCGCTTATAGTAATCTTAAATTTACAGGTAGTATCATTGACATATGAAGCATACGCAAATATGGCACTTAAAGAAATGGATAAAATCTGCACAGACCTCCGTGCAACTTGGCCCGAGTTGAAACACATTTTAATACATCACCGATTAGGCACAGTTCCAGAAAACGAAGCAAGCGTAATTATAGCTGCTTCAGCCCCGCATCGTTCCGCAGCATTGAACTCAGTAACGCTTGCCATAGACCAACTAAAATCCCGTGTACCCATATGGAAAAAAGAGCTATACGAGGGCGACGAAGCTGAATGGAAAGAAAATTCAGAGTCGATCAGGCCTAGTAAGAAATAAACAAAAATAATTCCTTATTCCAGATTATAAATGCAATGTACATATGTATAGACCATTAAAGAATAATTTTGTTCTTGTGTAATTTACAGAGAAATCATCCTTAAATAGTTTCAATTATTCTGCTTGTGAGTGTGTGGTTGACGAATCGAACGTTGTACCTCGAAATTTAGTACAAATTAGAGCTAATGACAGCGAGCTAATGAAACGTGTAGAATGCTTTTTTAAAAGAAAGCGATCGGAAATAAATTTGCACAATGTAATGGACTTTAAGCAGTCCAACTTAATATCTAACATTGATTCCGGCACAGAAGTAAATGTTTCTTGCGCTAGAACTCAAAGTACTGTTTCAAAACAAGAACAGTCGAATTGTCATTTGAAAGGTTAGTATTTGCTGGACAATTTTCATGTTTTTTCCTCTGTATTTACATATATTATATATAATAAATTTATCGCAGTGCGGCGTGTTTCAAATCGCTGCGGACCTCAACAGATGCAGCTCCGGCCCAAATACAAACTTGAACTTAATAGGCTAATGGCATCGCATGCTTCCACTAATGAAGTGGGGAAATCATTACACAATTCGCGTTTACATGTTATTGAAACCTACATGGGCTTGACTGCCAATGACAATGAAAATATTATTAATCGTATTAAAAATGTTGAGGACAGAATTTTACTGTTGGAGTCCATCTCGCCAGAATACCAGCATTTTGTAAGTAACATCATAGTCCTAAAACCATTTTGCTGCCTGCTGATCGAGTTTATTTTATTGCATTAAGACTCAGTTCGAGAAGTCGTGTATGGATCAATCGGACCAAAGAAAAGGAACAAAAAAAACCTACTCCGCCAACGAACTGCGTGCATTTATCGATGTCAAAAATAATGAATGTCCTTAAAACTTCAAAATAAACAATGATACAATTTATTAATGCACATCTTAACTTACCTCTTATAGTTATTTACAAAAAGAGATTCTGCTAATTATGAAATACCTTGCCAATCTTGCGTTTAAATGCACGATGCAACAGCAATTGGATGCGTCAAATAGTTTATTGATGATTTTATAGTCTTTGTTGAGCCAACTAAAATTTGAAGCTAGAGCAGCCCCACCAATGGTAATTGATCCATACCAATGCCAGTAGTAAATGATTATTACCACTTTCGCAATTCAACAGTTTGGGGTAATACCTGGGACAGCTCTCCTAATATAATATTCCCTGTTCTCTCGTCAACAAACATATGTTAAAAAGCAGATTAATAAAATTGTTAAACAAAAGATCGCAACTTTTAATTTTTAGTGTTTGTATATTTTTTTTCAAAAAAAAAACCAAAATTAAACTTGTTTATAAATTGTAATAAAAAATATAACAAGTGTTTTTTCTAAGATAAATCAACTAAATTTCTTTCAAAATGTTTAACTATTTTCAATAGTTGATTTAAATGAATAGAACTGGTTAGAACTAAGGAATAAAAATAAGCGTGGCTGAATGTCGGGTGTAAAACTTCAAAGATCTAGCCTGAAGGTTATTCATTAACCGGAGATTCCCAATGTTTTTTCTTTTGGGTCATTTTTGAAAATTTCTCTTTTAGGTTTTTTTTTTTTATTTTATGACAGATTAGGAAATTGAATCTCATCGTCAACTTTTAAAGGTTTTGGACCAGGACGACGGTTTTCTCCAAATTTGTTTGGTCCAAACCTTTCGTTAACAGAAGAGGATACAGGTCGAGAGGCTCCGCGTTGTTGGCCACGGAATTCCTTGCGGAACCCCATTTTTCGTACATCATTAAAATTATATTGAATATCGACAACGTGCTGAAGACGTCCTACACGTTGGGGATACATCGATGGGTCGTATTCAAAATTATCTTCACTGTTTATTTCCTTTTTCTTGCTTAAAACAGTCATGTTTTTCCATTCAGAGTTATCAGCCCCTTCCCCAGCTTTACGCAAATTAAAGTTAGGCTTGACACGTTTGTCCCTTAAAGCCTTCCATTCATCAAGAGTCATTTGTTTTGACTCATCCTCCTCCGGAGTGGTCACAGGGTCAGCCAATTGTTCATTGCCCGAGTCTTCTTTGTCGTCAAGCAGTGGCAAGTTGCCCGATTTATTATCCTCAATGTCCTGTCTTGGAGAGCCCCAATTATGAGCACCAGCACCATCGCGCTTGTCCACTGACTTTACACCTATAACAAAATATTAAAAGATTACTTTAATTAAATTATAATTACACAAACCTACCGTTCGAAGCAGAACGGCATATAATTTCTGACATTATATTTAAAGAAAACGCTCTTGTGTTTGAGCTGAGAAAATACAATAAATGCATAACTGTGGGGTGTCCACTCACATGTGTACCGACTGTATCGTAATTGGGATAGCACTTCGGCAGACACCCGTTACTTTTACTTGCCGTTGTCGTTACCATTTTTGGAAATATAAATGTTGGAAAAATATAATTGAAATAAGAGTGGAGTGCAATTGAGATGATGATTCGAGTTTTTAGTTTTCTGAAATTAATATACATATGTATGTATGTAATGTTTAATTATTCTATATGTCTCCATGCACATGTTTAACTTCATGCAAATAAGCTAAATTTATTTAATACATAAAAATTATAGATTTGCATTTACCGGTTTTATCGGATCCCGACTGACGATCGAATTCACGCTTTCCATATTTTTCTCCGGTGCGTAAGCGTTGTGGTCCCCTGTTTTCACGATCCTTCAATTGGCGCTGGGGAACATCGCTGCCAAACTCAGCACCACAAATATTACTTTCATTTGAACGAATGTGTACGTTGCTTCTGGCAATACTTGGTGGTCCTTTATTTTCATTTGCTGTAACATTTACTACGATTCCTTTAACGATTTTTTCTTTTTTACCAATAGCTGTATTCTTTCCAATCATTGGCTTATTTTCCTTTTCCGAATTATTTGTACCGCCTTTTTTTAAGCCTTTCTGTTTCTTGTTACCAATGTCGGGATTCATTTTTAAGGAGAGAGCTGCTGCGACTTCCTCTTCATACGAAGATAATAATTCATAACGATTATATCCTGTGTTGTCCATTTTAGAAAAAGATTTCTAAAATTCAGACTTCTCCAATGATGGCAATGATATTTTATGATTTTAATTTTTACTATTCCTTCTACAGGGATATTCACAGAAATACACTAAAGCCATATTAAAAATACTTTCGATATTTCCTAACTAGTATTTAAATGAGGGCTGCAAAATTGTTATCGTTACAATTTAATACAATAGTCCTTCATCCATATATATACGAAATTAGTGGTACTCCTGCAGTGGCCACAATGAAAAATGCCGATGATTATAAATGTTAGTCGACCAAAGTCCACAGCTGTTTTATGAAAATATTAGTCTTTTCAGACTGGGAGCTCCTGCTATCGGTTTCCGAACATATGCAATGATTCAGAAAATGAGTTCATAATGGCAGAAGTGCGTCCTGAGAACAGCTAATGCGATTTACACAAATTTGGTAGATCGAAGACTCTAACAGGAAGAGACTTAATTTTTTTATCCGCGGGGGAGCAAAATGAAGTGGAAGTTTTAAAATGCAGATAAAGAAGCCATTCAAGTAAGAGAACAACCTGAGCATAAAGTTTTCCTGGGGGACATGAAAATACGGGCTAATGCTAAAAGAAGCACTCTTTCACACAATTTTTTACAAACAATCCTTCATAAATAAACATTTTTAACTTGATATATTTTGTGGCATTAAAACCATATTGACGATTTTTTATAAGTTCAAACATGTTCTTGTGAAAATTGGCCGAGTTTTAAGCAACAATCTGCATCATATCCAGTTTGTTTCCTGCAGTTTAGGGCCTCAGTAATTTACTTAAAAATATATGCGCGTTTTTTCGAACTTCTCGAAAACCATCTGTGTTCTCCTCCCATAAATTGAGCAAAGTGTATTTTTCCTCAGGTGATCTCCTATTTTAAATCAGAATTGATTAAAACTATTTTTTTACAGGCACAATTGTATTCTGCGATGATTGGCAGAAAAGGCATGAATCAGAGAGTAAAACCAGGTATGATCAGCCTATTACTGTTATGAACAATTTAAATCTTAAGCAGAGTGTACATATTAACATTCTTGTTCTTGTACATTCATATACAAAAAAGTTTACCTGTAGAGCGTCCCACTTTGGTCGCACTGGCCACCAAGCGCAATTTATAAAAATAATTATTTTTGTCGTCTGAAAACTGGACTTTAAGTTGTAATGATCAAATTTTAATAAATTTTTCTCGAAACTATCGTGTTTGTGTATCGATTTTCAAAACATGACTAAACATTTAAACTTTCAACTTTTGCAGGAATGCCCTCATCGTTGCGCATGTTATTGTAAGACCTATCGTTTTTAGGTCATCTCTTAGAATTAGACAATTATTTGGAATTTCTGTAGTCAAATGTGACAATTGTTTTTTTTTTTAAGCGCTACCATCGAAATTTGCTGTTTATGTTTGGAAGCAATAAATTTAGGTAAATCCACATATTGTTCATCATTGCAAAGAAAACGGGTACTCTTCAATTTACTCGTTTACAAGCATAAATTCAACCAAAGAAGGCAAGGCAGTGTTTGCTCTGAGAATTACTTGTCATAGTACAAACTCATCAGCCGGTAAGTTTGAAATGAATATAAATATAGAAAAAAGTGTTTAATTTAGTCTAAGATTTAACATACATATAAAAAATGTTGACGTTGAAATTTGCCTTCACGTTTTCTACATGTCCAGAGATAAACAAAAATCAATATGTGTTTCGAGGATATGTTTTCAAACTTGATTATTCTTGCTTTAATGTGTTTTACTCAGGTGGTAAAACATAACATTTTTGAAATGGACGGTGTTTGATGTTTGGGGTTTGTTTTATTTTTCCGGTTGCCATGTTTCTGGGTTTAATGCATTTGATGAAACAATATTAATGGTGTTTGTATGTTTACAGAAAGTACTGTTCATATTTGTTCATTAAAGGTTGTACGCATTTGCATAAACGCGTGTGTGCCATGCATAAGCTTAAAGTTTTTTCCCGCTCATAACAGTTACTTCCATAAGTGAGTGTTTATCCCACCGATCGCTGCTATGGCAGCTACATGCATATGTGCATACACACGTGTAAATATGGCTTTATCCTTCCGGTGCTATATGTATGTATGTATGTATGTGTGTTCATACCTAGCAGGACAATATAGAACCATTGTATGTGTGTATTTGTATGTACATATGTATATATATCTATGCATGTATTTGCATACATAATGTATGCAATAGTAAAAACATTAATTACACGTGCAGGCAAATACATATCGGTTTCCTATGGTGATAAAGAATAAAACCACACAGTGGGCAAGAAAACAAAAGCCACGAAGGACCCCGTACTTGGCGACACGAAGAACACAGTATGAGTCATTATTCTGCTGTTATGTTAAAGACACGAAAAAAACCATTTAAACAGTTTTTTATGACGTCACACATTTAAATATTCTATAGTTATAGTCTAGTTGCAACTCCAGGAATTCAAAGTTTCCTATTAGTATGTATGTGATTTGAATCGGAAATTGCAAAGTTGCCTTTTTTCTTGGAATCCTCCCTATGAGGGTTTACACGATACTCAGAAAAGGTCAGAAAACCTCGAATTTCTGTCATAAAAAGACTATTCTTATCCCTCTCCAGTAGGAGAGCCATAGTAGTGCCTTGCCTGACTATGTCCCTGTGTCCGAGGACCCGTATTAGGAAGAGGTCTCACTGCTTCATCTCGTCTCTGGGTTGGACTCCTCCTCTTCCTCGTCTCGACAACTTATACAGCAGTCGATATGGGGAACTGACATTCTAGAGTCGTCTTTGCCAATCTGCCAGTGTCCCGTGATGGCTCTCGGGTGACGGCGGAGCACTGTTCTCTTCTGAGCCTATACAACTCTATTACGCGATCCTACAGGTGATGGTTTGCTGCCATCGTCTGTCTGCCCTCTTCCTCGAAAATCTCGTGTGCATCGCTACGTGCTCCCTCTCCAGCGTTGCTGTAGTAGTTCTAGTTTTCTTCGCCGTCTGAAGATAAATTGAGGCTCGTCGTTGACTAGGGATCATCGTTGTTATGAGCAGAGATCCACACAATATTTGTTGCGTTGTTGCATGTGTAACGGAGAGACAGATAAAGATTGCAAACGAGGGATAAACTGCCTATGTCGTTCCAGATGCAATCTCTCGAGCAAAGCATGTGTACATGTGCAAAAGACTGTTTGGAAGCCGATGGAGGGCTTAAAACAGGCATACTCTCAGTATGCGTTTTTTTATACCCGGTACTCGAAGAGTAAATAGGGTATATTGTATTTGTGGGGAATAACGGTTGTATGTAACGCACAGAAGGAAACGTTTGCGACCATATAAAGTATATATATTCTTGATCAGCATCAATAGCCGAGTCGATTCAGCCATGTCTGTCTGTCCGTCCGTCCGTCCGTCCTTATGAGCGCCTTGATCTCAGAGACTACACAAGTTACAGCCACCAAATTTTGCATCCAGACTTCTGTATGCTCACACTGTTACAAGTGTATTTCAAAAATGAGCCCCGCCCCCTTCAGCCATTCCGTAGGGAAGGACCATATCTATCATATCATCAAATTGGGATCTGATTGGATCATTACTATGGCCACAATGAAGAAATTAATTTGCAGTGTTTTTTGCACATTCTCTCATTCACACTCTGCTTCGCGCATACTTGTTTCTGCCTCTGCCGCGTCTCTGCCCTGACTCTGCAGTGTGTGGCGCTAGGGAAGGTTGGCGAGCTAAAGGAGCGTGTAGGCGTGAGTAGTGTTGTTGATGTAGATGACAAATGAAGAAAAAATGTAAAATTTGACAAATAACCGCTAAGGTGCAGATGTAGTACTGAGTGCCGGGTATAAAATTTGTGACGCGTAAGAAGCGTCTCCCTTCTCGTTTTTACTAGAAAATAATCAAAGCTACAGAAACATAAAATCGTAATCAGAACGTGTTGATATATCGGAAGGTGATTCTAGTATTAATAGAAACTAAGAAAATGTAAAGCTAATACAGGCCAGTTCTTGTTTGAAGCTTATTACAGAGATGCGCTAAATTTTGTATCCACAAAAAGTGCCATATATTTCGCTAGGTGGCCAGTGTGACCAAAGTCGGCAAGTGCATGCTCTATGGTTACACTGTTTTATGTTTTTTACAAAACAAAATATGTTAAAAATTCAAGAACAAAAGAGCCGAATACCTTTAATAGAATTTTGAGTAACTTGGCTTTTAAATTTTTTGTCTAACGAAAAACTGGGATGATATTTTTATCGTTTCCATACGAATATAATCTCGGATTTGGTCGACTGAAAATCCAGCGTATCTGAGCTGGGCTTTAGTTAATTTTTTTCCAAGTTTTTGTTGTATCCAAAACGAAATATTTAAGGCAATATTACTTTATTTTAATCTCCTTTTGTGATTGTTATTTGGCTACTTCATAACCTAATATAATTAACAAAAATCTTTTCAATGGCGATTATGGTGGGATGGACGGTACGAGATATTTTTGTTATCGAAATGTTGATCATAAACAAGTATTTCCATGAACCAAATGAAATATTAATATATAGAAGTTTAAGATTGGTTGTTTATTGTTTAAATTTGATATAAAACTATTTTTTCCTTCAATTTTATAGCATCTCAATATCTGAAATCTAAACTGAAGTTAATATCAATAGATAAAAAAAAAAAAAAAAACTTAAATATAACTTTCAAAATAGCTGTGAGCCATATGCAGAAGATCACCTTGCCAACTCAAGATGAGTTGCAATAAACTGAGAACCCCAAAACCCATCGATGGTACTCAATTTCTGGAGATGTTGTCAACCATATCATTGGAAGAAGTCTTGCTTTTTGAGTTTCGGCGGAAAACCACTGACAAATGGGAAATCATGGTAGTGTGTCCGGACCCGTTGAAGAAGATGTATCGTTGCAATGTTTGCAACGTTGTTCAATACGGAGACAAGAATTTATTTGGTCATTTGTGTGGAAAAAAGCACAACTTACTCATGATCAGCGTAAAACAATTTCAAATGCGC